GCTACACGACAGATTATCAGAAAAAACTTCTTACAGAGCTTGCTTGACTGTGATGAAGCTCATATTCTTCTCTCCTACTCTCCTAAACTGATTTAAAAGCAACTCTTGGTAGGGCACTAGTGAATGTATTGGATGGTTCCTTTTATTATAGTGGTATATCCCAGCTGCCCCTTCCAATAACAACAAAAATCAATTATGATACTTTCCTCTCTGTTAAATTACCACCAAAAATTCTTGGCAGTAGTAAAGGATATTGCTGTGTTTACCTATACCAGCAAAAGAACTAGCCCTTAAATGTTTACATGATGTTTCCGTCAGACGCAAGACGACAAAGGCTATTGCAAATACCCCAGAATCTGGGAATACATTTTGCTTCCCTTAGACAGAAGGGCACTCAGTGTAAAATCTGTGAACCTTACTAATGTCACATTTTTTAACTCTCTCCTTCCTGAAATTTTTACCTCAGGTGCATGATAAATAAGGTTTTAAATGCAAATCATGTATTTTTGCAGATTCAGCTGTGTCTTTTCTCCCTCCCAATTTAATGAGAAACTAACTTATAAGTGATTTATTTGTAATACCAGCAACCTAATACTTTGCTGTTCTGTTACTGGTTTTTATGATTTGCTACAAAGATAAATAAACCAACTCCATCCAAGGTGCTCCTGTGGCAATGGTGGTCACCCTTGAGTATTTTGTCATGGGTCAAAAAGACCCATATTGTTTTGACGGAGAATTTACAGTAATTTTACCGGAAAGTTAAAGTGAATGTCTATATTTAATTCAGATCCTGCATGCTCTAATATGAAGGGGCTTTAATTCTTGTAAAAATACATATATTAATAAACAGAAACTCATGACATGGAAGCCAAGAGTGGCAAATAAGGTAGCGGTGTCCTTTGGTGGAGTCTCACTGTCACAAGGGAAATCCCCCTTATCCTACAGAGATGTAACACAGTGTAACTAGACCAAGTCACCACTGGATATAAAATGAAATCTCATTTACTTTACATACAACTCCAGCAAAATATATGCCAATCCTTTTCAAACCTATTTCCTAAAGCTTCTTACTACTAATGCCAGAGGAAAAGAAAAAGAGACAGCATGTATATATCCTATATGTATATGCATGCTATTATGCATACACACACACCGAGTAGGTTAAATCTTTTTCCTTCAAACCAGTTGTAATATAATTTAATTACTGCAGCAAGCTGTAGGATACCACTGCACTGCAAGCATTGTTCAACAAGTTAAGGAAAAGTTACGTTTTCGATTTCCAAGAGGAAGGGTGGTGACCTATAAAGTGGTAAAGGAAACCACTCACAAGCTTATTTCAATACGCTTGCTAAAAAAAGCCCCCTGGAATTATAAGAGTCTCCTCCTCATCCTGTCAGAACAATTGGAAAATTACAGGCCACCTAAAATACATTAATTTAAGAGATTAAAAAAATGAAATGAATGGATACAAAAAATTAACAGTTCTCACTCGTGGAATTGCACTGCTCATTTCTCCAGTTTCTCTGGTAGCTGCATCTGGATTTAGGGAGAGAAAAAGAGTGCCCCAAATTACACGACAGGTACACTTAAAATGTGTTACAGATCCTGAGTGGCCATTGCCTCCCGAAGACTTGACTTTCCAGTTTATCCTGAAGTCACTGGGGACAGGTCTAACTTAAGCCAAAATAAACACCGACTGCTAGAAGCTTTGGGGTGAACAACATCAGACAGGATTTGACATAAACTGGTGATTTTTTTTTTCTATATGATCAGACAAAAATCTAAAATAAATGCTACAAAAGCATTTTGTAAAATACAGGACAATGACAAAATTGGTTTTGTGTTGCTTACTGTAATTTCTTCAACAATACATTAATCACAGAGATTTATGTGATAAATGTAGCATCACATTCCCTCTGAGCCCATGATGCAATTATCTGCACCAAACCCAGTACGGCAGAGCACACTGTTAGCTGCACTTCAACAGGCATGGGGAGAATAAAAACAAGGCGG